GCTTTTGAGTTTTTCTTGAACCATCTCTACAACTTTGTTCATCGGAGGACGATCACTAGGCTTCATCTATATACACCATAATGCTACTAAAATCATCTTCTTTATTATTCTATTTTTTCTTCCTCTGTTGCATCTATTGTCGCTTTATTCGTAATATTTATTTCCAAAACAATAGTTTTTCCTAAAATAGACTTTGATTACGACATCATTTAATGTGAAAATATTGATCATTACAAGAATTTCATTATGATATTATTATATTAAATTATATTATATTAATCATTAGATGAGGGTGGGTCTTTTAATATTGGGAGTTTCTCGCCCTATCTAACAATCTTTGTTTTACAATTTGATGCAGTTTAAATGGTAAAATAAAGTTTTTATTTTAAAAACAATAATTAAAGATTTTTTAACTTGCACAACTTTAGAGAGTATTAAATAAATTATCAAAACCTTATTGAAGTAATATCTATTTTAGATTTAGTGACTGTTTTAATTGTGGGTTATTTACATTTTATAACGACTGAAATGCTTTCATTTACTTCTTCTATGCTAACTTTTTTTTTTTTCCTTATCCCTCCTTCTCCGTCTGCTTTTTTCTCTCTCTTGCTGCTCCAATGTTTCCCGATTGAAATCATTCTCTTATAGTAAGAGATCAATATCAATTTACATTGCAACTTGAAGTACAAAAATTGAAGAGCATGGTGTGTTAATAGAAAGTCCCATCAAGAGGAGAACAAGGCCTTAAAGGATATGGTGGAGTATAAGTGTGAGAAAAGAGCTAGCAAAGGGAATAACGAAAGATTGGAGAATTCAAAATGCAAAGTCACTTTTTCAAAAATCAGTCAAGTTGCTAATTAAGTTCAAGATTCAAATTAAACTCACCATAATTGAGGATTTAAGAAGAAGTAGAGCTAGGGGTGGGCAAGGTTCTGATTAACCGACCAAAAACTGAATAATGAACTGACGTCGGTCGGCGTCTTTACCGAAATTTTGTGTACGGGCCGAAGAGGCGTGGTTTCGGTTTAAACCTGAATTCTAGTTGGGCGGGATTCAGTTGTGAGGCCCAAAAAACGAAGCCCGATTAAAGCCTCCTACGAAACGAGGCCCAAAATGCCTTTTTTTTCAAGCCCAAATATTTGAGGATTTTTTTAGCTTGGGCAGGATAGTTCCCGGATTCCTTCTTAAAGTCCTAATTAATCGGGATTTGTTTAGCTTGGGCGGGATACCAGTGGTGGAACCAGGAATTTGTTTAGGGCAGGGCTTTATACTATAATATAGATTATAGGTATAGTTATTAATAAAAAAATAATTTGATATTAATTAAAATTATTATAACACTAATATATTGACTAAATAAAACACTAACCATATAACTCCTAAGTATGAAGATGACTATCATTTTGATTCACATAAAAGATATCATCAATCAAGTTTAAATTTATCATAAATAACTTATTATTTAAAATAAAAATATGTAAAATAAAATAATTGACTGGGACAGTGGGAACAATATAAAAGTTGATGTTGATCCAATCAAATATTGAAGAGGGAGAAGCAACGAAAATGAGAGAGGACCACTTCTTGCGCTTTTAAAATATAAATTTAACAAGTTAAATTACTCATAATCTAACAATAAATTAAAATACAAAATAATTATAATTAAAAAAAAAAAGAGACAAAAGTTAGAAAGAACAAGTTACTTGTGTGCTAGCCGGCTGGACAGTGGGACCAATATAAAGGTTAAGATTGGTCCAATCAAATATTGGACGAGAGAGGACCACTTCCTACACTTTTAAAATGTAAATTTGGTGGAGAATTTGGAAATACCTTCTGACCGACAAAATTTAATATTTGTTTATTTAAGTTGCACGTAAATGACGTCAAAAGTTTCCGTATCACTCTTGAATTTGTCCGAGTCCATAACAAGCCATTTATTAAATTTATGTCTTTGGTTTTATTTTTTCATAAAAATCTTTCATTTATTTAGGTAGGGCTTAATAGTATTAGGTTTAATAATACTATAAATTTTTTGGTTCAGGGTAGGGCTCATGCCTAACAAACTTATTAGTTAAATTTATATCTTTGATTTTACTTTTCACAAAAATATTTTATTTATTTATGGAAAGACCAAATATTATTAGGTTAATAATACTATAAAATTTTTAAGTCCGGGGTAGGATCCGTGCCTAACCCCGGGCCTAAGTAGTTCCGCCACTGCAGGATACTTTCACAATTTCCCTCTTAGTTAATTGGAAATATTTTTCAGTTTCCCACAGAATATATTTTTAATATTTTTTTACTAAATTAATTTGGATTTTTTAAAGTCTCCTGTACTTAAGAAAACTACCGTATTGTTTTGCTTAAATTTTTTTTTCAATTTAAACTAAAACCAATATGAAAAGACTTAAATGATCCAGTCGCCGAACCAATAAAACTGACTTTTTTTTTATAGTTTGGTGATTGCTTCACTCTTTTTCTAACAGCATTATCTATTAATTGTTCATGTTAATCAGTTCAATAACTAAACCAATCGATGCCCAACACTAATTACAGCACTTGCTCGGCATACCCAATGGCATAGCGGTAAATGCTTTTGTAGAGTCAAATTAGAGGTTCTCAGGTTCTCTTCCTTTTTTAAAATAGTTAGAAAATCCCTCTCCTTCCGACAATTAATATAGTTGCTAATTGCATCTTTTTGCAACAATATTGCCAGGAGCATAGTTAGATTAGATATTTATAGCTATGTTAAATATAATTATTTTTTTTTTGTTCGTATGTATATGCCTTGGAGCAAGACCTACAATTTTTAATCATATAGATACAGTTTTTGTCCATAGTTATGCGTCAAATTTGTTGACATTCTAAGATTTGAAGGGTAGAGAATGAAAGTT